AGTGCACAGGGTACATTCAAGTACTCAATGAGTACAATCCAAACCAACAAAAAAAAGGTAGATTTTTCAAACTTCGATGCCAACTTCACATAGCTAAATAAGACAAGAGTAGATGGGTGGTTGGGGGTTGGGGGGGATTTGAGGAGGAGAGTAATTAATTTTTTTGGACAATTTCAGGGACATCTGGGGTTGAATGTCTTTGAAAGTGGCGCTGTGTGGGAAATTTTCATTTATCAGAGAGTGGAGAAGTGACGGAAATGAATGAATTCATTCAATTAAACCTTCAATTGTTATTAAACACCCACAATCAGTGTTGAGAAAACTAGCGGGTTAAATAGAAGGCACTTTCATCTGGGCGTCGAGAAGGCGGGGCTGGACTTTCTGCAGGTGTCAGTCGGCCCGTCCGCTCCGCCTAATCACTCCCGGATCTCTCTAATTAATATATTATTTTCCTTTTTTTTTCTCTCTCTCTTCATTTTTTATTCAGCCACTTTATTTTAAAACCCACCCGGGTTAAACACCTTGCCTCTCGATCCAGTTGTATAATTCTCAACGCGTCAATTTCTAAATGGGGAAATTTAATTAATTGTACGGTATTGTGCGGACAAATTTTTATTTTTTTTTTCGCATTCTCACTCCCTCGGATAAATATGGATTCTTTTATTTAATGGTGAAAATGGAAAATTAACTGATAATGCGAGTGGCGCTCGTGGCAAATAAATAATCGAGAATGGGGAGATAAGAACATAGAGATCAACTCTTCTATGCACTTTAGACGCATTGAAACAAGAGAATAGTTGATACTCTCCAGCCAGTAATTGGATACTTAGCGCAATCCACGATTAAGATCAGATCGAGTAGTTGTATCTATCCTGTGAATCGGTAGGTGATTGATTTTCCTCCTTTGCTCTCTAGTTGTTTTCGCCGTGTGGTAGTTTATACTGTGGCAAGCTGTTGGGAATACTCAATGGCACATACGGCCAAGCTGATCGGCCATCACGATTATTTTTCAATCCTAATCGTCGGGAATCGTTGAAGCTGATATTTTTCATGTTGAAAAAAAAATGCCAATTAGTTTCGAATCATAGTACTGAGATGTGTTTATCTTATCTGTGAATGATCGTATCAATTTGTTTTTCAGGACAACAAAAGGCGGAGGAGTAATCTGGAGAGGAGGTGGATGGAGAAATCTTGCTGGTGGAGATGGTGTGCGGTGAGTGATAATTTCATTCTTATCTATTGTAAATCAGCGGAATTTCGCGGTTGAAATTTCGATAAGTTCAAAGCGAAAATTGAACACCGACATTAGTTGAGGGGGTGATCGAGAATTTTAGGAATTATCTTGAGAATTTTGATAATCCTGATGATGGAATGTCAACATTTTCTAATCCACCCCCACTCTTCAATTTCACCTCTACGTATTTTTTCCCCTCATTTGAGTTTCATTGGGGGAAAAAAAAGGGGAATGAGTGAATAAAAAAAATTCACTGGCCATTTGTTTCATTTCCACTTCCGGCAAAGTTCGGGATCTCATCATTTATTCCAACGAGAAACGCGATTTCATGAAACAACACGTTTGCATGATTAATAGCTTCACAGCAAGCACTCGGGCTAATTGCTAATATATAACTGGCTCTTCTGTATAATAGGGAATGCTTTCTTTTATATCGTTTTTTACTTCTTACAAATCCCTTTTGTACGAGTATATTCAAATGCGATAGAGCTCTCACCTTCGTAAAATGAATAAACACGTGTTTTAAAGCGTTACGAAATATCTAGCTGTGATTTACCGATTCAACTTTGTGTTTATTAACTCGCCAGGTTAGACTTGCTCGGGCATTAATCAACCGGTGGTGGCTTTTCGATTTAACCCCCAGGCAACAATAATCCTCTGTCGAGGGTTAACCAATATTTACATTGACTCGATGGAAAATTCAAGTTTACGCGGGTTAATTAGAGCAATCGATTTCTACTGATTCACTGTTTTTTAAAAATTGCTGTTAGAAATAATTAGAAGAAAAATTCGTGAAAAAAAGATTTGGATTTTCGATTTGGAAGGATCGGTTTTAGGATCAATTACAAGGGGTAGGAAAGTGTTAGGCGTTATTTTTGCTATTGAAATATGGAAAAAGTGATGCAAGGTATCGATGAATGAGCGTGGACAAAGTGGCAAACGATCGATTTCGCGGTAAGAGCAATGATTCGAGACCTTACGAGCTGTTATACGACTCCACATGGAGATACCGTTGCTCCACACTCTTGTACCTCAGAATAATAATAAGAGTTTATATATGGTGGATAAAACGATGCGTGACTGACTATTGACTTGCCTCGATTGCATTTTCCCCAAGTGGGTCGTACCAGGCTTTCCCATTATCCTCTTTCATTACTATTCGCTTTGTACCCTATTTCGAAAAATGTCAAATCTCTAATTGACATTATTACTTAGGATTCATTAACTTGGTACAAGTATTTATTTTCATAAAAATATTTCTCCAGAGAGAAATTAAGCTCCAGGTGATTTCGACTAGGTGTTCGGTAGTTATGATCTTCAATTAACTCGATCAATAATTGATATTGAAAAGCCCATGGGATTAAAAAAGAGATATTATTCAATTTTATTGATTTTTCAAGACGAATAACTCAGGAATTGATTTTTTTTTTAAATCAGAAGACGGAAAGAATTTTTCAGTGCCCTCGATGATGATGCCGAGTGAAATATGGCATGTGTGTGTCAATTAGAGCTCTCCCTTGATGGGTAAAAATATTTAGTTCGTCAATTCGGTACACCTCAGGGCCGTCAAGAGTTATTGCGCGGTAACGACTCGCACAATAATTGCAGACACCCCAGTAATTACAGTGGAGTTTAGCGGTGGATAATATAAAGTCGGTAGAATTTTGTACAAGGTGGGTTACACGGGGGCAACAATGAAATAATTACGGTGGAATTGTAGGCAATGCTGGGGACCACCTCATCCATTTACTTTATACGGTGTACCTTTTAGGAATCTCATCTCATTTACTCCGTTATTTTTTCTAATCATTTTTCCATTTATTCTCATCTAATAATTTCGACATCTCCCATTAATGAACCGGCGAGCTTTGATTCCGTTGTGTTGATGATGACATCGCGAATTGACTAATGACAAAAAAAGTTTTATTCGGGATTTCCAATGAAATTAGCTAAAATCTTACTCTCGAAAATTTTATTTTATAGATAGGATTTACTTGGGTGGAATAAATATATTTTTTCTAGTGCGGGGGATAAATCACTGACCACGTGCTTTCATTGAAAATATTTCAAGATCGATTTTCAATTTTCTTTTTTATATTAGAATTATATTAGGATGATCATGCGTTACTGGCGCCATGTTACCGTAATCGGTGTTAAAACCACTCGTGAAGACTTCCCGGTAGGACGAATCATATTTCTCAGAAAGTCCTCAGGGCATTTTTCTTTTAACATTTCTCTTCCATGCCATCTCTTTTCATTAATTTTAATTTGACTCTATTGTCCACACGTGTCTTCAGAGATCACTCTTGAGATTCCTTTGTAATTGAAATGAATTATTTATCGTCGAGTTAATCTACTGGAATTGTTTTGTTTCGATGAAAATCGAGGGGGTAAGGTGAAATAGTTGATGAAAATGAGCGGCATTCCGTCGGGGGATTTTATAATTGAAAAGCGGCAGGAGTCTTGAAACAAGCTATAATAATTTTAACGATTAGAATATACATGAGGCGCCGCCCCAGAGGTCCTATAAACCTACCTCCTAAAAGGCAATTCGCTGCATCCACCTGCAATCCAATATTTAACGAGTGGATGATTGCACTGTGCAGCAGCAAGTACTCAATACCACCAATAATTAATCAAACCGGAAAATAGAGATGCACTTAATGCATCAGTACCAATGCCAAGCCTTAGATTGCAATGAATTAATTCAAAATTTTTATTTATTTTATTGTTGCTACCTGGGAATATATCATCTGATGGTTCATCAATAATCTGTCGATTGGATGCACGTGATAATTGGGTTTTTCGTGGGAAATATTAATTCAGGGAAATGTGCAATTGAAGTAATGATTGTCTTATAGCGACTTGAGAATGATTTAATGCCGGAAAAATAGAGCTCGCTCATTTTATTTCGTCGTAATGAAGGCGGAAAAAATATTTGAATTTTTTAGATAGATTAATGAGAGTAATACACGTCGAATGTGATGAATTGACAATAAATATTCCGGTTTAAACTTCCGCTGTCTCTGGCTCTCAACTCTCGTACAATTTAACCCCCCCCCTCTTGCCTCTTTATATTGTATCTGACACTTCTCTTTCATCGTTTTTATTAATTGCACTCATAATACATGTGCAGTTACGATGAAAAAGCATGTTCTCTCGTGTGGGCGGATGAGTTGACTCTTCAGGTAGAAATTTCTCTCGGCTAATCACTCTATTCATTCATCACGTGATTGAAAAATTCTTTTCGTGTATTGCACGTGATGAATAAAAGTGCAGTTCCTACACTTTTTTTTTCTTTTGTTTTTGTTTTTTGTACTTTTTTTTCTTCTTTTGGTTGAATTCTTACTGGAGAAAGTGTGGTTAGGACAAAGGATGCAGTGTCGGATGACTTGAGAGGGGGAATCGGTTAATTGTTGTGGCATGTTAGGACAAATGAATGGGGTGGAAAAAGCGAGAAGTGGAATTTTGTACGACGTGGGTAACAGGATTCTCCCTGGGGACCCCTCAGTGCCTTCCCAAGAAATCTCTTTGAGAGGAAAAAACCGGAATCCATGACACAGCGATTTAACTGAAAAAAAAATATCCCTCGACTATAGGAATTTGTCACTCTAGTTTTTTCCTCGAAAATAATTGCACTGTGAAAAATATTTTTTTCAAAGATTCATTTATTTCATTCTTATTCAAAAAATTGATTTTTGAGGAAACGGTAGGGACGATGGTTTTGCGGAAAATTAATGTCATGGGGAAATTTTCCGTGAAATGATAATTTCAAGTAATTGGCGGTGATTTCAGGGCTGAGTGATAGGGTGATTTTATCGGTGAATATTCTCGCGGTATTTAGTCCTCCATTGAGAATGATAAACTCACCCAGAAGATGGATAAATTCGTTTCTTCTTTTGCCTTGGGTATTTGCATTCCGGTTTCACCGGCAACGAATCAATTAGAAGTGGTGCAGAAATATGGTGTCATTGCTCGAGAATGGAGTCCTCCGGGTATTTTTATGCACCGAGTTGGCCTATTTAATCGGTGATACCGGGATTTCCGGATCTATCCGAGTTGGTCGGGTGTTATTATAGCGGGCGAGGTTTAATATTTCTGGTTTTCATGGGGGTTTGGATGATGTTGCTCTCGGGACGGGTTAAAAAGTCGTTTACGGCGCAATTTTCGGAGAACATGGGTTTTTCACAGCGACTAATGGCGATTCGGTAGCTGATTTTTTTAAAGCGAGAATTATGACGTGTAATTTTGAAAAAATTACACGTCTCTATTTTTTTTCCATCGTTACTTCAGGCGCGTTGAATGAGGGGATAATTTTCTTCCGGTCATTTCTAGATGGATTTTGAAAATAATTTTTTTTATTGTCAGCCAATAGTTGATTTTGCATAGACTCACACCGGAATGAGTGGTAATAAAATATTTGAAGTTGAAATAAAAATTGAGACCAAAAAAAAAATAATTTTTTTATGTCGATTTTGGATTTTTGGAGGATGAGAATGATTTTTATTGAAAGGAAAATTTTTTCGTCATGCGCTCGATGATTTCGTAGATATTTATGTGGCAGATGATAATAAAGATTAGTAAGATAAAAAATTTGAGTAGGTAGAAATCTGAGCAGTTTGTCAGGCTCAATGGTTTTACCAATGGGACAATCCACTAGCTTGATATGCCAACTGGACAACGTTATACCTGGTTGGTACTGGCCTCTAGCCTGGCGTTAATGCTATTTAGGCACCGGGATAATTCAACCGACGTGCGTTTATTAATGCCACCGGGGTGTACAACTATCTACATATATACACACAGGGTCGTGGATTGTGAGATTGCAAGCAGCTTGGCATACCTCGTTAAATTACGGTACCGAATGCAACCTAACATCGTAAAGGTCGAGTGAGAAAATGGCGAGAATGGTGAGACGGGCTATGGAAAGGGGAGGGTCTTCGTTCGGTCTTCGTGGATGAGCGAGAGAGGTGGTGATA